TTGGGTTCAAATCTGCAGGGGCCGTTGTATTTAGCAGCTTGTACAGTACACGAGATGATGATGGACGATTATGAACGATGACGCATGACGGGTTGTTTCTTTTGGCATGAAACTGAGGTGTATAAAATTCATTATGAATGTGTCTTAGACACTTGGTTTATCAACCCTTGGTCCAAGACCGTGTTCAGTTTGGACGCTTAGGTTTCCTGTCCAGTTGGCTGCCCTGCCAAGCCTCGTCCACGCCGAAATGAAATGGTTCTCCGACTCCACGTTGTCAAATGTCCGCAGTTCGCACTCCACCTCCAGCTCAATTGCATCCACCATAAACAAATCTCCAGAAGTCAGCAATTAGCCACGCTTCTGCATCTGGAACCCCTCACAAACAGTCCAACCACTGCGCGCATAATTCCGAGCAAGAGGAGAACTCAACTCAGGCAAGATGCCATACCTGCCCACAAGCCAGGCCTTCCTGGAACAATCCGCTCTACTGCTCGAAGCATACCCAGAGACTGTATGTCAAGACCAGAGAATCTTACCTCATGCAATGGACCCCTCAAAATTCCCTACGAATGAGCCAAACCTCAAGTGACCGTGACTGACCCTCCAACTCAAACCGCGCAGACACGCATCACGACAAAATACGGCTTCCCCTCACAACGACCTTCAGCACAGAAAAAGCCCTCCTCGACACCAAAGCCCGAGACGACCGACTCCCCAGCCCCAACTGCCGCCACCCCCGTCGCAGTCCTCACCCTGAAAACATACAACCCAACCGCAGGCATCTGTCTGAAGTACCGCACGAATAAAGCCGCGGAGGTCGGCCGACTGGTGACCAGTCTGGGGAAGTTGGCGGGCGGTGCGAACGCCGCGGGGCTGGGGCTCTCGGCTCCGGCGCCGACGACGACTGCTTCTGCTGCTGCGGATGTGGAAATGACAGATGCTCCGGCGGTGGTCGAGGAGGCTGCGAGTGCGAATGCGAGCAAGACGGATACGGGTGCTAAGGGCGGGAAATCGAAGAAGAAAGGCGGGAAGGGGAAGAGGTGATGAGTAGCGGAGAGGATGAGCGTATTTCAACGAGGAATGAAGGGTGTCCGTCACCAGATACTGCACGGATGATGACTACTGTGGCCTGCCAAGTGGTCCTGCTCGCTGTTTCACCTCTGATCGATCTATCTGAGACGTGATGTAGACTGTCGGAGCAGCTGTGAGATGAGAGCAGCTTTGTTCCGGTTTCGTACGTTTGAACTGAGACTCCGTCGAGGCGCACCAGCATAGTTAAACCGACAGCACTCGAGGAAGATCGCAGACAGAGGGTTCCTGACTTGCATAACGAAGCGGATCTGGAGCGTGTGTGAATCATTCAATATCAGCAGACTGCATATTCCATGAAGGTTGGATCCAAGTCAGTCGAAGAACTATCCAAATGATCTATCAAAATACCCAAGTGGAATGTATAGTGCTATCCTTTCTAACTAAATACATTGCATCCCCGTCCATACACTCATTATATGCCGAACATCTTCTGAATGGCGGAGCGGAAGACTCATAATACAGACACTCAAAGAAAAAATCCGCCAGTTCCCAACGCCGTGCCCATGCGTAGCCCTCAAAAAAAAAAACATCTTAAATCAATAACGAAGGTGAGCAAACGAGACAATTATCTTCATATCAAATAGCAGGCGCCAGAGACCCTCCCAAGGGTCCCGAACATGGCACACAGCTGGGTATAAGTCGTTCAGTGTTGGTTTAGAAGTCCTCGTCAAAGCTGAGACCTCCATCATTGGCGTCCTTTGCAGTGTCCTGGCTGGCATCCTTCTTGGTGCTGGCCATGACACCGGCCTTCTGGTAGTCACCAACACGCTTCTCAAAGAAGTTGGTCTTTCCTGCAAGCGAGATACTTTCCATGAAGTCGAAGGGGTTGGAAGAGTTGTAGTACTTCTTGTTTCCGAGGGCGACCAACAGCCGATCAGCAACGAACTCAATGTACTGGCACATCAGCTTAGAGTTCATGCCCAGGAGAGCAACAGGAAGAGCTTCTGTCAGGAACTCCTGTTCGATGGCCACAGCCTCAACGATGATATCCTCAACAACCTTCTTGTCGGGGCGATGGTTCAAGTGAGAGAAGAGAAGGCAAGCAAAGTCCGTGTGCAGTCCCTCGTCACGAGAGATGAGCTCGTTGGAGAAAGTGAGACCAGGCATCAATCCACGCTTCTTCAGCCAGAAGATGGAAGCAAAAGATCCAGAGAAGAAGATTCCCTCCACAGCGGCGAAGGCCACAAGACGCTGAGCGAAAGTAGATTCCTTATCCGAAATCCATCTCATGGCCCACTGGGCCTTCTTGGCGATACAAGGAACTGCAGGAAATTAGTGATTGGTCTAAACGAGAGGAAAGAGACAACAGCATACTGGTATCAATTGCATCAAAGAGGTAGGTCCGCTGCTTAGGCTCCTTGATGTATGTATCAATCAGCAGGGAGTATGTCTCCGAATGAATGTTCTCAATCATGATCTGGAAGCCATAGAAGCACCGAGCCTCAGGCACCTGCACCTCATTGCTGAAGCGCTCCAACAGGTTCTCATTGACGATTCCGTCAGAGGCAGCGAAGAAGGCAAGGACATGAGAGATGAAATAACGCTCATCGTCATTCAGACGGTTGTTCCAGTCGTGCAGATCTTTGGAGAGATCAATCTCCTCGGCGGTCCAGAAGGAAGCTTCGGCTTTCTTGTACATTTGCCAAATCTGCGTCGGAGAAGCGAGGCATATCAGCAAACAACGCACATATAGGACATGGCGCGGAGAAAACCACTTTACGCGTGACGCGTTGTGGACGTGCCACTCACCTCATGATACTTGATTGGGAAGAGTACGAAGCGATGAGGGTTCTCTTGAAGCAGTGGTTCATTTGCCTCGAGTTCCTTGATACTTTGAGCAACTTTGGAAGCTTCCGTAGGCTTTTCCGCAATCTTTTCGGTGGGCGCGTCGGTGAGGGCTGTGGACGACGGCGCGTTTTCCTTGCCCACAACTCCGAAGTTGAGCTTCTTCACAGGTGAATCGCTCATCTTGAGGTTCTCGAGAGAGGACGCAGCCTATAGGAAGAGCAATGTTAGTGTATCCTGTTGCTGTGACGCGTCTGCAGTAGGAGGCAAAGGAAGTGACATCAGGTACCTGCTTGGAAGGAGTAACTTGCGCAGCCATTTCGTGGAGTGTCTGAAGCTATGTGAGGGTAGATGTCGAGACAAATTGATCACACAGACACAACAAAAGGCTTCTAGACTGGGCTGAGAAAATGGGATGGAGAGGAAGCAGCTGCTGGGAGGGAGGAAGAGCCGGCAGAAATACTTGCTTCAGACGAGGCAGCGTGATCCTTAGCGCGACGGGCTAAGTCACGTCGCACGTGACTTGGCGCGCTTTTTGGGCCCGGTGGCTGGCGGAAAATCCATTATTACGTATTTTGGTGTTTTGGTGTCGCGTCTACCAGGGACGAACACAGTAACACTACGGAGTAGGCTACAAGGTAGCAACTTCATCAAGCCTAGATGCCTTCAGCCTTTCGAAGGACTATCTTTTTCTTGGCTCGTACGTTTCGGTAGTCTCGAGCTCCGGCAGTCATATTGTGTCTACTCCGTATTATCCACAGTCTTGTCGGTCAACTTTACAAGTTTATTAAATGTGATTCACATATTGGATCCTTACAGAAATATACTGGTTATTATGATTACAGGACACAAAGCTTTCCCATAATTAAGGTATTCTTATTGAGTGACTTCTTATTGTCGCGTCACTCGCGTCTAGATACTTATCTTATCAGATCTGATGTGATCATCAGCTGCACTCAAACTGTCAGACTCTGGAAGGAGAGCCCACCAGACTTAAGTCAGCACTGAACTGGCCTGTACCTGTATTCATTTTTGAACCTGTTCCTTGTACTTGTCGCCACATGCCTTAATTTGAATTGACATTCTAGAATGTTTCCACATTGACTCCTGCTGTCCTGCATAGCTCGCACGCGGGGGTGTCTCATTATCTTATCGCAATACCGAGGACGCGACTGAAGTTCGACGATGCATTCTTGCTCACATCCATGGCCCCATCTACGCCGGAGTATTTGGAGCTAAGGTTGAGTAATGATTGTGTAAGCTGGCTTAGCACTTCAGTCAATTCCACCATCCGACAGAATGAGACGATATCAGTCCTAGGGTGGGTGCGTCGCGGTATTTCGGAAGAGGACAGGCTTCCACAACGGATTTACGGGTATATACGGTGTACCTCTGCTTTGCGCTGTATATCCCTTGAATTCCCGGATTCTCAACTGCTCGTACTGATTCATACCTGACGCCGGGACTACCTAGCCCGTTGGGTGGGTCTCGCTTTCACCCTTTACCCACCGTTCACCGAAGAGGAGATAGACACGTCGTAATGCCGGCTGGTGCCTTTCTAACTCTTGGAATGACATGTATCCGAGAAATCGGTTCATTGTACGCTTCTAGGCTTGATTAATGGTTGTTGCCATTTCACCATACATGAGCGGCATTACAGGCCGGCCTGATTGCTGTCTGTCCTGGATTCCCTCAGACAAGCAACATTCGGCCACTTTTACATGTCGAAATTATGAATGATGCTGGTGTTTTACGTAATGTCTGCAGCATTAAATGCGATGCCAGGACGAACGCCCTGCACATTTAGCTTCTGAGGCAATATGCGGCGCTCCGACAACAAGCCATCCGATGTGGTGTAATGGCTAACATCGCTGTCTCTCACACAGCAGCTCGGGGTTCGATTCCCCGCATCGGAAATTGTTATTTTCACTTCTGTTTCATATTTTTCTTTGGGAGACGACGTATGCGGCGGGGACCTTACGACTTTTTTCGATCAGAAAAATCGGCTCCTAGTCTCTATAGGCACCTACCATGGGCATACAGGACTCGATACAGTTTATATACCTGGCGTCCAAAAGATATGCATCAAAGGGCCATAATACATTGCTTATCTCATATCAAGCGCCCGGATGGTCTAGTGGTATGTTTTCAATTTGTTATCCTACTACAATTTCCCCGCTAACAAAATAACAAGGTATGATTCTCGCTTTGGGTGCGAGAGGTCGCGCGTTCGACTCGCGCTTCGGGCCTTCCTTTTTTTTTGCTTCCTTCCAATTCATCCGGGAATTGTGTATCATTACGAATAGAGAGTTAGATCCTATCTGTTTCAGTTGAACTCTCCAGTACGCAAATCGCAATAATCACATTATGTCGGCCGCTTAGGGACGTGGATGGAGGTTTAGTCTACGAGTACTACGTATCGACCCTACTGTCCACAGCGAGGATGCATTCTCGGTCCATTGACAGGAGCTCTTGCTATAGGCAAAAAGGATTGAAGTGTTCAACTAGGTCCGATGTGGTGTAATGGCTAACATCGCTGTCTCTCACACAGCAGCTCGGGGTTCGATTCCCCGCATCGGAAGAAGACAATTCTGCCTTATCTTTTTGCATTGAGATTATTTTTCACCCTTCATCGCCGCATGCACCGTTCACTTCGCTTGTACGGAGTACCTTTAATCGGACAGGGAGGAACATCAAATAATAGTAGCAAGATCTCATAGGTAGGACGCAAGCCCTCAGGCCATAATCTCAATGCTTGCTCCAAGTAGTGCTCTTGGCAATAGGTTACCTCATTCCGCAAAGACAGTCGCCCAGTGGGCGTGGGCCAGACCCTCTTCAAACTCAGCCAGCCAATCGGAACAGTTCCAGGCTTTTTCGAACCATGTGCTGGCACGACCCATAAGTATTGCCTGCAGAAATTTCGACGCCCTACCTCCGGGTATAAGGTCCATAATGTCCAGGTCTTTCCATAAGTTATCCGATGTGGTGTAATGGCTAACATCGCTGTCTCTCACACAGCAGCTCGGGGTTCGATTCCCCGCATCGGAAGAGACGACTCTTTTTTGCCTGTTTTCTGGGTATTATCCTACAATACGATGCTGTCACTACTTTGTGCTCTCGGCAATTGCCGCTCTCGGATGAGATTCGGTCTGCGCATCTCCTACTTAGTTATCACCCTGTTACTAGACAGTAGTGTTCATTCGGCCCCACCGAACAGGATCTACCTGGTCAGCCTGGCCGACTTGGAGTACCGCATCCCAAATCACAATCAGCCCGCCTGTGAAGTGGCTGGACGGCGACGCTCTGCGCAATCTGCCTCCTCGATCTATTTGGTGCAAAGGGGTTTCATTTTTATAGTCTTCCAGGGCTCAATTAAACTTGGGCAGGATGGTCTTGCGAGGACTTGGAATGGGAACATGCTTCGCTACAACAACTTTCCCAGCTCAGTACTCCGTATCGGTTCTCGAAGACTCGCCGCACGGGATAGCATCCCCCGGGACCGGTTAATCCGCAAATCCGCAGGAAAAGCATTTTCGGCCGCGCTGCTGGTTATTTCCAGGGAGGATGACGGAGACAACAACAAAAAATATGCCAAAACATATCCTCGAAAGGCCAAGAGTAGTTAAATTCCGATGCGGGGAATCGAACCCCGAGCTGCTGTGTGAGAGACAGCGATGTTAGCCATTACACCACATCGGATGTTGTTGAAAGATCGGGCGGATGTTGTTGAAGATCAGGCGGATGTTGTTGAAAGATCAGGCGGATCTTGACTACATAGGCCAGTCGTATACCGACGTAGTGATATCATCCTGGGGCGGGCAGAACCATGTCGCCTTGTCCTCCTTAACCACCAGAGGACTGATCGTCCGTGTGATGAACCATGGGTTAAGACTATCCGGTGCGGAATCATGTAGAGCTACGTGGTTAATCCCATAATCGATAAGGGGTTTTCGTAGTACTTCATGTTGAAGCCTGGTATGCGCAAATATATATACCGCGGGATGCGTCCGCAAGGCCATCCCAATAGCGACTGGCAACTGCGCAAAAGCCAACGCTGGTGACAACCACAACACCATACATCAACCAGCGGAGCAAACAGTGGCAGGGAACCACCAAGTCCCGAGGGCTAAGAGGTTGGCTCGGTGTATCCCCAGAGGCATTGAAACACCTGATGAAGGTAAGCCACCGGCGACTCGCCGCGTGCCTCAGCGACAGAGCTCCAGACTCCAAAATATGAAGTGAAAATCCGAGTCTATACCACTGTATCGAGATCTACACGATGTATTATATACTGATATGTACAAAAAGTCCAAGCCGTATCGCAGCAGGACGACCCGGAAGTCAACGCCTCCAATGTGTATACCCAACGATTTGAGCGATCTTTTCGATGCAACCGCTCGACAACGCAAAAGACCAATGCCGTACTCTCTAGAAATCCCATTATTACCATCACTGAATCTATAGACAACGCCAAAGGCGTCCCGTCGCGGTAAGAACCAATCGTGCTAGACACGCGCCTTTATCGACTCGGGAAGAAACCGGTCTTCGAATCTGCGCATCAGTTTATTGGTCTGCTCAGCCAGACTGAGAGTCAAGATCTACAAAACGAGTCAGCACCAAGCCGTGACGCGTAACCTCGATATCCGGGAGTTACTCACGGTATGAGGCAAGATACGAGCCAGATGGGCAAAGTAGCCCTTGTAGATCGCAAGTATACCCTCCTTTCGGATAGTCTTGAAGAGGCAATCGAATGCTCCCTTGTAAAGATCACCAGTCTGGTTGTACATCCTGGACATAACCGTGTCTGTTTATAAAATTAGCTGGCGCGTAATCGAACAATGCCCAACTATACGTACCGGGAGGGTGCATGACACAGCAGACCACGAAGCCAGATACGGTACTACTGGCTAGATGAAGGGCTGGACCATCCTCCATCCCCAGGTGCTTCACCAAGCGTCGCTTTGCGAAGAAATAGGTGGGAAGCTGGACGGAGCTGCCGAAACCAGTGCGAACCATAGCCGCTCCAACACCCCGGTACAGTCCGCCAACGCCTTCGGACGTGTAAATTTTTCGCAAACCATCAAAGGAGTTTCGATATTCGTGCTGCGTGCCTACGGGAAGGAAGGGAGAATAAGACTGCAAACGAGTTTTCACGAGGAAGAACGGTGACCCAGCTGCTGCACCGATGATGCCGGACGCGGCGCCTGAGAAGACATTGATACCGAGGGATTGAACTTGCGGATCCTTGTAGACAGCGGTTGTGATACCCTTGCGCAGCGGCTCATAGAAGCCCAAACGACAGCCATTGAGCAAAATTTGGTAGATGTACTAAGTCGGTACCCGTCAGCACCCAAGATTCAACCACCGTGTAGAGACAACATACAGCCGAGCCGATTCCCCGGAACAGCCCGCGAGGACCTTCGTTTTGCAGAATAACCTTAACTCCGTGGAAAACGCCCTTGTATTTCTTGACCGCCTCGCTTTTCGCCTGAAGTTCTCCCTGTAGCTGTAACCTGGGAATCAAGAGAAAGTCAGTTCCGTCAATCAAAGACATAGGAGGACAAGGCATACCGAATCTTCACAGTCTCAAAACTATGAGTTACTGTTACCGCACCGCATGCTGCAATACCCCCAGCAATGAATGCCCTTCAAAGCAATTGTCTCTCATCAGTACACAATATACCCATAAACCTATATGACGAAATGTCGGCGCATACCCTGTTGTCGTCGACATAGCGACTGACAAATGATCCCTGCAAGCGGTGGACGACGCCCGAGAATTTATGGAGCAACGAAGGAGATAGGAGAGTGGAGATGGTGGCTAGAATCTAGAAATGAAAAAGATCTTGCAACAATGGCACGGTGAATTTTGTCAGAAATAAGGCGTCCCTCCTACTTCCAGGCGACCTGCTGCTGAGGGAGAATCTTAGATTATAAAGCGACCAACACAGTCATGGTCGCATTGCAACTAGAATCTGAGATGCATCGCGGCGGAGAGATCAATTCCGTATTGCTGATTGGCCGCTTTACTGCCAACGTCTCCGATCATCGGATCGGCATCTTTCAGCCGCCGGCGCGGATCAACTAGTCTTCCGCTTAGCGTCGGTTAAACGCGCCAAATTTCCATAACGGAAGTAAGCGCGCGTTGCTCCCCAGTTTCGCAAAGCTCCCCGCATCGAACAAATCCGTTGCTGTTATTGAGGATCAGAAGGGACACAAGCCCACCAGAGACGGGTTCAAGAGGGCACGGAGGAGGACTGCTAGGTTGGCTGAATATCTTTGCTTTATCCTCCCTGGGTTTATGAACGATCGATTTGCGGTAACTACCGAGCCATAAATCATGTCGGAAGCCCAGCAACAACCCCAGGTGCCGGCGCAGCAGTCGCAACCTCAGGCTCCGATGCAGACTCAGAAAGTGTCTGATATAATTCGTAGCTTCCGTCCTGCAAAGGTCAGTCTGCGACTCTCTTCTAGATTGATCCATTGGTCTGACTGTCTCCATGTCGAGAGTATAGGCGTTCAAAGGATCGAAGCAAGAACCCTCCAACTATGTAACTTCATTGGACTTTGATGATCAGGGCGACTACCTGGTGGCTTCAGGCGACGATGAGACAATTCAGGTCTTCGATATCAAAGAGGGCAAATCTACAAAATCAGTCCCCAGCAAAAAATATGGTGCCCATTTAGCGAGATTCACGCATCATTCTCGTCAAGTCCTTCACGCGAGCACGAAGGTCGATGGTATGTCTATCGCTGGGGTCTCCATGGATTCATTTGACCGGACTCACATTTGAACAGATTCTCTTCGACTACTGGACCTTCACAATGAGGGCTACGTGCGTTACTTCTCCGGTCATACCGACAAAGTCACTTGCTTGGCTCTCTCTCCTGGCAGCGACGCCTTTATCTCATGCTCAAAAGATGACACCGTTGCGCTCTGGGATCTTAGCTCGAGGAATGCGCAGGGGAAGTTGAAATTGGCCACGCCTTACCTGGTTGCCTTCGATCCCTCTGCTTCCGTGATCGCTATTGCTTCACAGTCTACCTCGTCAGTCCTTCTATACGATTTTCGCAACTATGACAAGGCTCCGTTTTCCACCTTCGATCTCGCGCCGTACGAAGAAAGATACACTCCTTCTACACGTGGAAGAGCGTGGACCCGCCTTGAATTCTCAAACGATGGAAAACACTTGATGGTTGGGACGGACTTTCATGGCCATTTCATTCTCGACGCCTTTGAAGGCAATATCAAGGCGTTTCTGCTCGGCAAGAACGGATCCCCTGGCAGAGCAGCTCCTGTCTCAACAACTGGAAAACCACTTGGTCAAGGGGACGCATGCTTTACCCCGGACGGACGATATGTTCTGGGCGGCTCCGGCGACCAGTCAGATGTTCTCGTATGGGATATGCAGCAGACACCGGATGCCAATTCCCTCCTGCAGCCAATGACCAAGCTACCAAACCGTGGTCGCACCGCCATACTAGAATACAACCCACGGTACAACATGCTTGCTACTGCCGATAAGGAGGTGGTCTTTTGGCTTCCGGAAGAAAATTCGCGGTCCGCCGAAAAATAAGGATATGCGTGTTAATCCCATTCGGATCGACGGGCAAAGAAGTCTAGCTATGATCTGGTCAGATCAAACCAAGGATGTGAGGAGGTTGCTGCGGGCTACCCTGCCTCCAACACTGCTTCCCTGCTTTGTTGAGGTATTTTACATTTTTCGATCTTTGTCTTTTCCTGCCAAGCTTCTGGCAGTGTCACAAACCCACACCGGAGGCCCCTCCAAGCCTTCATCGCCATTCCTATGTTCCTCGATGGTGGTCTCAATTTGTTTGACCACAGTGCGATTGCTCGATATGGTCGTGACTCCCGTGGACCAACCATACATAAACACACTGTAGTTAATATCTGACAGAATCTTTGCGACTTTGCGGGATACTGGAGGTAGAGTCCCTTGATCCCTCGCCGCTTCAATAGCGGATTTGGCATTAACCGTTCTGATCGGAATTTTCCAGCCAGGTGGTACTTCATAATCTGACAATCCCTGGAACTTCTCAAGGAGAGAGGTCGTGTCACAGTCATTGAAGGGTGCATAACCCATCAATAACTGGGTCCTTTTTCTCTCTGCCTCCGTTCCGATAGTATCGACTATCTCCCGCATTCTCCCCGCAGCTTCCTCCGTGCAGACCAAGTCATGCGCGGTCATCGCCGGCCAAAGCTCTGTGGGCAGCAATGGCCGCTGCTTTTCTACCTCGACCTGCTTAAAAATAGCTTTATGATGGGAGGAAGAAAGGGTTACGGTTTTGTAATGCGACAAGTCTGAAACCATGGCAAGCAGCAGAGTACAATCCACATTCAAAGTGGAAGTGAATCGCTTGAACGGGTTGGGAAGCAATTGAGACAGTTCCCCTTCCTCGACAGTAGCATGCTCGGGACCTTCTGCATCCTCCGTGCGCGCTCTGGCTACTTCCCCTCCACAATTCACTGTGATACCATAGCTCCGAATCTCTTTCAATAAATCATCGATCTCGGGACTTTTCCCCTCCTCAATCTTTGGAATCACGAATCGCAGTCGGGGATGTTTATACCTGATTCGTGTAGCATTGGCGGCTTTTCTCATATCGCACGCCAACTTAATCAGCTCGACCTCATCATCGTCGTCCTCGTCGCTGTCGAAGTCGTCATTGTCGTAATTTCGTAAAACGGTTCTAGTCTCAGCGTCACCCCCGTCTTCCGAATCCGCCTCCCACCCTTTCTTGGCCATCTCGAATAGGAGACGAGTTTCGGAAATGGTGGAGACCTTCACCCATTCTTCACCATCATCTGCAACGATATCGACAAAGACGCTCTTGCGCTTGTCCTGACTGGGCTTCTTCTTCTTCACCTGGCTCTCCTCAGGTCCCTTTCCACCATGTTGCGCACCGGCATCCCAGTAGAACCGCTTTCCAAAAGCGACCAAACCCGTGCATGTATTCCTAGCAACGTTCCAAACAGCCTCGTAAAAAGGCAGATTCGACGACCGCAAGGCATGCAGAAGTCGTAGCTCGGCCTCGTAATCATGTGACCTTGTTTCTGCATCCGCCGTAGCAGACACCGCGTGCACCCTTTTGGAGAGTTTCTCGAGCATGCGCAACTCGGATAGAACGTTGGATCGGAGCGATCGGACCTCGACCAGTTGGGGGTTGCGGAGGTTGCGGGTGAGCATAGACTGGAGGGTATCTATTTCGCCGAGGAGACGGCTGCATTTGTTCACGAGGGAGGTCGCGAGGGCGCGGCTGTTTTCGGTGTCGGATTTATCTTGAACGTCATCTTTGGCGGCATCTCTTGGATTGTCAAATGTTTGACTACTTGGGTCATTGTTGTGCATGGCTGGTAGCCAGACGGTAAGGTAAGTGAAGATGAGTCCAAGGTGGGATGCTATGACGGCTGCGGTAGGTAAATACACACTACCTAAGGCGGAATTCCAGGTACGCCAGAGTGCTGCGTTTATTACATCTCTAGTGCAGATTCTTGGCTGAGGATTCGAGCATATGTCTCTTAAACTTGTAGATGACATATACACATAAATTCAATTAGCCTATTACTGGAGTAGTAGGAACTTAGAGCCAATCTAAAAATACACCAATAGGCCAAACGCCATCAAATGCCTGCAAAGTTGAAACCAAACGGAAAGATCCTTAGAAGATCGATCGAACCTTCAACTTCCTGAGAATTGATATAAAGATGATTTGATGCCACTTCTGAACACAATGATGAGAATGCATATGCATTCACAATTGACTCGATTCGAGACAAGATTTCGGCTCCTCCGCCATGAGCCAGTTAGTCCGATTTATGGGCAGTGAGTCTCTGTCGCTCGCTTGAGTTTCGTGGTGACTCGTCCTCATCCTCAGACCATTTGTCACCATCCTCACCCACAGCGAAAATCGTCTCACCATCGAGAGAGTCTCGCTGGCGCGGAGCAGATGGAACAGGTTTAGGAGGTACCGGTGACAGCTCACGGCGTGTTGCGGAGGCGGAATTTCCTTCCGGGCCTCCAAACGCTTCTTCGTCGTCCAGCCCACTATTGAAAGATCGAATCTCGAACCCGTCATCGTCTTGTGCAAGCTGCAGTCGATGTTAGCATGCATTCATCGGGCGCCATGGAAGCGTGTCCGGAACATACCTCGTCACTCATTGCGAACCGCCTGTTGTTCGCAGTAGGCCGCCAAAGATAGGCAACGAACCCTATATCGAACAAGTACACAAGGTTCAGCCAACCATCTAGCACAAACCACCTGGTCTTCCAATGCTCTGGTACAAAGCTTGCTTCGCTACGACCAGCAAAAGCAAATGAGTTGATGAAAAAGAAGCCGAAGATCACGATGATGCTGCCCAGAATACACCACCAGAGCTTCTTGTACATCATTGCTTTGACCTTCTGCTTTCGGTCGATCAGATCCTTCATGGTTGCGTTCAAGGAGTTCAGTGTCCACACATAGAATGCAGTCAGTGTACCAGCCAGCGGGAGCACGATGAGGAGGACCAGTGGCCCAGCGCTATCGGGTGTAATTGATAGACTTGCGACAGCATATATGACGCCGAAAACGAAGTGGGTGATGGCCAGGATACGGACATAGATCATGGTCCGGCCCAAAGAGGGCTTGACCACGCCGTATCCCATGCAAACGATGAGCAAAAGGAAAAAGGAGAAAGAATTGCGTCCCGCATTCAGGACAGCGACGATTACCATCAGCACCTTTGCACCGATATTCAAACCGTGCCGATTCTGGAAATCTGCTATTGGTCAGGGACCTGGACGACAAATTGAACTCCAGCGGATGTGCGAAGGGCGAAATACCATAAAAGCCCCAGGTCATCAATTGCTCCACAATCAAAAAGACTAGAATAGCAGTGATGTAGTTTTGCACCGGCACTGTAATCATCAGTAATTGAGCACCATCCAATTGAAGGTTTCCACTCACGAATGTCATGACGATTCTGAACATATAGGAATGCCCAAAATCTGTGTTAAGCCCGTCAGTACCGCTAGGACTTGGAAATGGCCTTATGAAGCGGAGACCTACACTCCAATGACGGCATAGACAATAGTCAAACCACCGTAGAACGGAAGTTTTGCAATTTGCGCAGCAGGAAGTTCACCGTATGAATTCCTGAACTCAACTGCCGCTTTGTAGTCCTTCCCGGAATATCCGTAGGTGCTGACGCAATAGAAGCCGGTCTTCTTGATAGGGTAATTAATTGCAGTCGGATTGTTCAGATGCACCGCCTGAGATATAATAGGGAAATTGGATGCCTGGCTTGCGTTGGCGGCCAGAATGAAGGAACCTACTTGATCTTCTTCGCATAGTTTCGCCTCGACGCTAGCCTGGTCGCAAATGGTCTCTTTCGCCTATAAGGGCATGTGTAAGCGCGGAAACTTCATCTGCGGCGACACTGGGAAGGCACACTTCAGGGTCATCAGATACGGATCTCCCGATCAGATTCTCGTCGCTCCATTCGAATATCACGACACTGACAAGAGGATCGCTATCGCCGGCTTCGTTATCTTTGACAAATACGGTCTCGATATACGGATCGATGCTTCCACCCCATGCCTTGCGACTGTACATCCCTGAACATCGCTGGCGGTGGGCTTCGTCTTGTGTCTGGGTAAAATGATTATGTTAGTTATTGGCGTGGAGATCCATCAGTTTTATGCGCACCAATTCAACTTCATTTGCAAGAACTCGTCCTGCCAGAGCGGCAGTCAAGCATAGTGTCTGGAGCCAGCCCTTCATTGTGATCACAAAGAACAGCCGTACTAGGCTTCCAAGTACTCAAAAGGAGAGTCTATGCGCGACCGCAGACCATCCGACGGCAAGCAGAACTTGCAATTATGTTTCAATTTGCAAGATAAGTTTCAGAAGGCTGTCGATTGAGCCTCCCTAGGACAGGTTATTCCGCGATAGTATCGGGGCTCGAGAATGTTAAGAGTTGAAGCTTACCTGTAGTACGTACAGGCTGTCGTGGCTAGGTATACTGGAACCGGGGAAGCCGCGTGCTGACGGTCCCACCAATCAAACTGTGCCCGCTGCAGCACCGCCATTAGGTTTCTGCCTTTTTTAATGCGAAATTTCTCGTCGATAGTCATCGCAACCAGAGACATTCGACACCAAGCTAGGCAACAAGCAGCAAAATGCCCGGAAAGCAACTGTCAGATCCCTGCGTTGACTGCAGTGATGCGGAGGCTATATTGACGCTGCGCACCCGCCGTCTATGCCAGTATGTTGGTTCCCAAGATTTGGTGGCGGGAACGAAATACTGACTGTATTATCTTCATCTAGGACTTGCTATGCAAGATTCGTGAATTTCAAGGTGTTCAAGCGTATGGAGAACTATCGTCTTCGGAGAAACATGCCTAAAACCGGACCATGCAAGCTGCTCTTGCCTCTATCTTGCGGCATCTCCTCTTCTGTCTTGTTGCACATACTGAATGCTCAAATCCAACTTGAACTCGCCAAGTCGCATCCCTCACCGGGCTTCGATCTCCATGTGCTTGTTATCGAACCTTCTTCTATTTCTCACAGTAGTCCGTCGTATGATGAGGGCTTTGGATTGCTACAGCAGACGTTTCCCCTGCATTCTTTTACTCGGATCCCACTTCACAGTATCTTCGAGCTGGATCCCGAACTTCAGGAAGTCATTTCTCAATTTTCTAAGGACGGCTTTGTTGATGATGCCGGCTTATCTGCCAAAGAGCGCCTTGATGCTTTCCGTGCCTCGATTCCGACTTCCACATCCAAGGTTGATGTCGACTACGTTCTGATTACCAGACTTGTTGTTGCGTTCGCGAAGAAAATAGCGTGCAGAGGAGTGTTGTGGGGAGACTCAGATACCAGGCTCGCCGCGAAGACTCTTGCCAATGTCGCCAAGGGACGGGGTTCATCCTTGACATGGCAAGTGTGTGACGGAATGTCACCGTTTGGTGTAGAGTTCAACTTTCCACTTCGGGACTTGTTCAAAGCTGAGGTGGATAACTACGCCAGTTTCTTCCCCGAACTGACCAGAATTATCATTCCTGATGAGCCACCATCGGAAAATGTGCTCACGAAGAACTTGTCCATTGATGAGCTGATGATGCGGTACGTCCAGACACAGGGCGAGAAGTATCCCGGCGTCATGGCCAATGTGACTAGGACTGCGAGTAAGCTTCAAGCTTCCTTGACCCCTGCCAATGTACCTCAATGCAGCTTCTGTGGCGCTTTTATGCTGAACTCAGGCAACAATGGTGGCGGTGACACTACTGGTGCTAGCCGAGCACTCGAATTATGCTACGCATGCACCAGGTCTCGGCCTGAATTGACCTGCTGATGGGTGGCTTTTTGGAACCGCAGATGACACTTCATTGCTTTGGAAAAAAAATTAAAGGCACTAGCACCAACTAAAGGAGGTATCCTTTTCTCTTCATCGACCACGGGACTTTGAGTTATCCGCCACTCCAGCCTCCAAGTCACCTGCTCGATCGGATGATTTACCAAACCACCCTTTCTGCGACCGGTCTCTCTTCGGATGCCTGGCAGGCTCAGGCCTAGCAGGCTCAGGCCTAGCAGGTCCCGCTTGTGCCTGGCTCTCGTATCTAGGCGGTTCCTCCAAGGCACTCTGGTCATATCTGTCGAATTCCTCGGGCAGGCTGGTATCGATGACCCCTTCCGGAGTTCGACTTTGCGCCTTAAGCGCCTTCGCCCCCTTTTCCCGCAAGTGTTTTTCCAGGATGACAGCGTTTCTTGTGTTGCACTTGTACACAGCGTCTGCAACGTCCCCTACGAATGGGACCAGACCGATAACGAAGTCGATCAGCACATTGATCATCATCATCATCCTGAGCCGTGCTGGTAAACCGCCGTCAATCTCCTCGCAGTTCTTCACGACCATCATGGCAAGTGCGGTATCGCCGACGTCACCGAGACTGAAAAATTGACGAGCATCAGTGCCAATTTCAACATCATGCGCGATTACGGAACTCACAATGGAATCAGCGCAATGACACTGCCCCACCCAAAGCGAATGCCGCACAGATTGAATAGGCAGTAGTCTAGTCTGTACGCCCTGCGTTTCACCTGTGTGAGGACTCTCTGGTCATTCTCAGAGAGTCCTGGAGGAATTGCCTTTTGTCTCTTCCGTGTCTTTTTGCCGAAGGCTCGGTAGAGTCGCGAAGCCGGAACTTCTTCGAAATAGGGATCCTAGACAAGACCGATATCAGTCGCTATGCACAAAAATGCATTCCAATTGTGGATCTTCATGAGCTTACCTCTTGGCCAAAATGGTTCCTCGCGGATTCCGCTAAAATTCTCTTGCCGACCAAGGACGCCAGAGCACCTGACATGGCTTCTTCTTAGTCGATACGTAAAAACGGATGTTATCTAGAACAAGAGTTGATACGGAAATAAGAGATTTAGCAAGAATCAGATCGGTTTCGCGAGGAAAGATCCAGAGAGCTCTTAGATTCTTTGTATCTGTGTAGGCTTCTCTGACAGAAATCAATGATAAAATGTTTTAAATGAATTAAGCTTTCCAAAATTTGACCTAGCAGGTCACGAATAGAGTGGTGTAAGCAGGTTTTTTGAGGTAAGCTGTTGAATAATAAATAGTATCTGTCAACCAGCACTTGTAGGTGCCAAAGCGTTGTCTATCTACTCCGTACCGTCTCTCAGTTCTCCCCTTGGTTCACATAATTACTAGAGACGTCATCCCATGCCCAACAGCTGAGAGGATCATCACTTTTTCCTTCCCTGATTTGATCCGCTGATCTGCACAGACCACAGAGCCACATCTGTGGCGCTATTACTGAGCCATGAAAAGCTACTATTGGATGGCCTATTGGGTGACTGCGCCACAAGTAACTTGTACTTGGTATCCTTCTTCCGTCTCAGCAGCTTGCTCTCTCAGGCTCTTTGTCCTTGTGATTGTCGCCCAACACTCGGTTATCACAGAACGAGTGAACGCACTCAACCTCAACCCCCCTTCACATAGGTGATTCATCGACTCACTCGCTTTCAAGGTAGACAAGCCATTGGTTTGCTCTCGCCACTACTTTCCATTTCCCCTCAGCAACGCTACGCTTTAGGGCGGGTGCTTTCTGCCAAGCACCCTACTGGAAGCTGCATCACTGGTGTGCTGTTCTCCCCCTCTATTTCCGCCTCTCTCTCTCTCCGCGCCGCTGGCTCTCGGAGAGACCTCGTCACGCAGACAAAGGCCGTGTTGAAATGCTAGAAGACGTCGGACAGTATGACAGAAACAAAGATGCAGCTGGAGGACTGTAAGTTTTCGTCTTCTCTCCGGTCGCTCAACGTATCGACGGCGACTGCAGTGATGGTGATGGTGATGTCGATGACGATGCTAAATGGTGGGACTCCCTGACATTAGGGCTGGATGACCTGTGTGTCCGCTTCATTATAAATTTACCTCGCGAAGAGCTGGAGTCCGTCGAACGAATCTGTTTTCAAGTGGAGGAGGCGCAATGGTTCTACGAGGATTTCATTCGGCCGTTGGACCCGGCGCTTCCCTCGTTGTCTCTGAAAGCTTTCGCGCTGCGCATCTTTCAGCATTGCCCACTGATGTCCCAATGGTCCCACTACCATCATATTACAGCGTTCTCGGAGTTTCTGGCCTACAAGACCCGTGTGCCGGTGCGTGGTGCCATCCTGTTGAATCAGGACATGGATGAGGTAGTGCTGGTTAAGGGCTGGAAGAAGGGCGCCAATTGGAGCTTTCCTCGCGGTAAAATCAATAAGGATGAAAAGGATCTTGACTGCGCAATCCGGGAGGTCTACGAAGAGACTGGTTATGACGTTCGGGAGGCCGGGCTAGTGAAGGATGAAAAGGACGTCAAGTATATTGAGATCACCATGAGAGAACAGCATATGAGGTTATATGTGTTCCGGGGCGTGCCACACGATGCTCACTTTGAACCTCGTACTCGGAAAGAAATCAGCAAGATTGAATGGTATAAGCTGTCGGACTTGCCAACGTTAATGAAGAAAAGCAAGCCAAATGATGAGAATATGGCGGTTGCAAACGCGAACAAGTTCTACATGGTTGCGCCGTTCATGCACCCACTCAAGAAATGGATCGCTCAACAACGGCGGCTTGACGCAAAGGCACAATCAGAAGGCGTCAAACAGCTGTCGCAGTTGGAAGGAGAAACATCTATGGACGAGGCCTTTCAACCGGCTATCCACCGTACACCGGCCAGGCATGCTGTTCCTAGTGATTTACCTGAAGTTACTTCAGCAGAGGACGCCTCTTCTCATCTCAAGCGACTTCTGAAAATCCACTCGGCCTCCACGCAGAATCAGTTCCCTCCTACGCAGACTTCTGGTCCGGATGCTTCCAAGTCCAATGCTCTGTTGGAATTATTAAGGAGCGGCTCCTCTCACCAACCTACTCACCAGGCTCCCACAAACGACCAGGCATTTCACCCTAATGTCTTCCATGAGGCTATGCCCCCACCACATCAACCTCACACTCTTTCGGCACCAAATTTCTTTCCAGGGTTCCCTCAGCAAGTTGCCTACTCTGGGCAACATGACAATTTATTACAGATTCCCGGGCAACCACACCATGGCGCTGCTCTTTCACATTTGCCAACACCCGCGCACTCGCTTGGTGTAGGAGGGCCCCACGCTGGTTATCATGGGGTATCACAGTTTTCAAATCGTCACCCGTCCGAGTTGCACGCAGCCGCGCAGACTCATAGGCCAGCGCAAGCGCCAGCTCCATACCAGAGAACCGGCGATCCTGAATTCTCGCAGGCGGCGCAAGCTCCGCAAATTCAAGGGGCAGCTATACCACCAGCAAGCAAATTGCCTCCGCCTAAGCTTACCAGCCACTCATTAGCGCTGCTGAACGTTTTCAAAGACAATTCAATGAAAACGCCAAAGACAACAATGGCTGATTTGGCAACGCCCTCGGAGAAAACGCCATCTGCTGAGCGCAAACCATCGCAACATCAAGATCAATTGTTGAGTCTCCTTAAGGGAGCCACTCCTCCGGCGCCTGCCGAATTATCGGCCCAGCCTGCCTCTCCGGCTGCCAAACAAATTCTCCAGCGGCCTCGCACCGATCCTAGCACTCCCAAGAGATCTGCCCCCAACACACATGTGACACCAAAAGGAGCTCCGCGCAATCCTACCAGTTCGTCCGGGCCTCCGCCCGTCGGTCCTTCTGAGGCGGCTTTCAAACAACCAGCGAAGAAGAACCAGAACGGCTCAAACCGGAAGAACAAAGATCGACACGCACGGCCTCTTGCGTCTCCCATTACCATATTGACCAGACCGCAGTCGGACAGGAAGGATCGCTCACCCACTCCAGCATCTTCCCAGTCTCCTAAGCCTCCCTCGTCAAGAGCGTCTTCTCAATCTCATACCAACAGGGTGAAGACCGCAGAGTCACAGAAGCCATTCCAGCCGCAGATACTACGTCGCTCGGATAATCTAAACCTAGATAATATTCTTCCGACGCGGAGTAAGGATGCGAAGGGCGTGGCCCGGCAAGTGACTTCCCCATCTCTCAGTGCTGGGCAAGTGACGAAACCTACTGAGCCTGCTCAGCTTCCTCAGCCTCCTCAGCCAAACTTTGACCGCCGACCAAGCCAAACAGCTGCGCAGAAGGAGGCTCTCCTCTCGCTTTTTGGCAAGCGGCCTGTTTCTCCACTTACTTCACCCTCTGGGAAACTGGACCTCCGTACATCACTGACCAAACCGTCGGCTGCTTCCTCGGCTGTTAGTCCGCTTTCGCCCAGTCGCCCTGCCTCCGAGGTTGGCACTGAAACGCCGAACGCAAACAAGGTTTCATCCCCAGTCAATAAGGCTTTCCTGCTTGGATTCTTGGAAGGAGTAGCGAAGGGAAACAAATGAGTCAGGCTCGCGCTGATTTTCAACAATGAACCAACATGTAACTATGTCATTCAGAAGGTTCAGCCTAAACTAGTATTAATTGTACAACGCTGAACAACCCTCTTGTCCTTGATACTTCTTTCCTGTGTAGAGAGATAGATGCATTTATCTTATCCTAATTCTGCCATATTTCACCGCCCGGTCGTCGATGTCATACCCGGAACTCTTGATTTGAAAACGATCGTTTGTAAGATTGTCATGAACGGCCTAACACAGTTATGATGCGGTCTATCGCATCTTCGAAAAGAGTTTGCACTCACTGTCTGAGCCATTCAAGGCTCTTCTCGACCACCGTACAGCACCGCGCTCAGCCATCGAGCGATGCTGTCCCTTCTTCCCCGCCTCGGTCTGGGTATGCTCGACTTACGAACCGGGGTTTGATATCGATCACAGGTGTCGATAGTACTACATTTCTTCAAGGTCTAATTACTCAGAATATGCTCGTTGCGAACGACCCGAGCCGCGCAACTCGTCGAACCGGGACCTACACGGCTTTCCTGAACTCCCAAGGTCGAGTGTTGAACGATGCATTCATCTATCCGATGCCCAAAGGAGACGGCGAGACGGCTACAACTGATGACCCAGCATGGCTGGTTGAAGTGGACAAAAACGAGGTATCCAGCCTCTTGAAGCATCTTAAGAAGCATAAACTTCGATCGAAGTTGAAGCTCCGTGCCCTGGAAGACGGTGAACGCACCGTCTGGTCGTCATGGAAAGACCATTCTGAGCCCCGATGGGCGGCGTATAACCTGGAATCGGAATCGTCCTCGCCGTTCTCACCCTCGTCATCCGTTGCGGGATGCATCGATACCAGGGCTCCGGGCTTCGGATCCCGGCTCGTCACGCCTGGCGAGGAGGACCTGCGTGTTCATCTACCGGATGAGGCTCAGGTTGCTGGCTCCGAGGTCGATTTGGGCACGTACACGGTTCGTCGGATGTTGCACGGAATAGCGGAGGGACAGGCTGAGATAATCCGCGAGTCTGCGCTTCCCCTTGAATGCAATATGGACATGATGCGGGGGGTTGACTTCCGCAAGGGCTGCTACGTCGGCCAGGAGCTTACGATCCGTACGCATCATACGGGAGTTGTGCGGAAACGGATTGTGCCTGTGCAGTTGTATGCGAAATCCCCCCTTCCATCCGGTGAGACCCCTGTGTATGATCCCACTGCAGCCGTGGCCTTGCCACCTAGCGGATCGAATATCTCCAAGGTTGATGGTAGAAAGGGCCGAAGTGCGGGCAAGTTCCTCGGTGGAGTTGGCAATATCGGTTTAGCTCTTTGTCGATTGGAGATAATGACCGATATCGTGCTCACAGGCGAAGGTTCACAGTCCAGCCCCGAGCAAGAATTCAAGATTTCATGGTCTGCGCCAGAAGAAGCATCATCGGACACTACGGAGCCGGCAGAAGTGAAGGTTAAAGCTCTTGTGCCTCCCTGGCTGAGGGAGTATATCTCCTCTGGAGCGAGGAACCTTGCTCGCAAGGTGGACAGCCAAGAAGGCCACCGGGCAAAGGAGCTCTTATATCAACTGGAGGAGGAAGAAGAGCAACGGCGGAATGAGTGACGTGGATCACAGCACATCGTGTATCATATATTGTACATATAATGACCGTGTATTCTCTATAGACGATAAATTTTTTCTGAAAGGATAAATAAGAACAAAGCTGAAAGGGGTATCTCTGAAATTAGAAGTCTACCGAACGAAAGGATGCTCAACATCAAAAGAAAGAAGACTGTAATTAGCCCTTGGCCGCAGGGGCAGCAGCCTCAGCAGCATCTGCTGCCTCATCCTCTTTTATGAGCTGTGCCTCGAGGGCCTTCCGCTCCTTTTCGCGCTGTGCATTCTTCAATCGCATTAATGTTATTTCCTGAAAACTTGGAGTGCTTCGTCCATTGGCCGATGCATCAGATGGCGTTGGCTTTGCTGAGCCCGCGGCCGAGGCGAACGAGGCAAACGAGGGAGCTTTCCCGGGGGTCTTGCCTGGAACACCAGGCGGCGCTGCCGACTTGAGCTTGGAAAAGTCGAAAGACGGTTGGGAGGGGCCAACAGAAGGAGCTGGCTTTTGTGCTGACGAAGCTTCATCAGGCGTGGAGATGGGAGAAGCGGCCCGGGTTTCCGTGTCCACTATGTCTGGCTGGTTGCCAGACGCCCAGGATACAGATTCGATAAGCGACCAGTCGTTGTCCGGTTGGCCAGCGCTCTGGCGTCGCTTTTTCTCACTGTCCAGCACGGCGGCATGGGCGCTGACAATGGAGGCGAATACCACAACACCTGTCGCGACAGTCTTCTTCTCTCGCTTGTCCCCGACACGCTGGCGCTTGTCCTTCAGCATGAACGTGTTCTCGACTTTACCGAAAGGCTTGAACAAAGACACCAAGCGATGTTGGTCTAGATCCAGACCTCGGCCTTCCCGAACCCAGCGCACTTTGACGGTACGCTCGAGTTCCGGAACATTCGTGCCACCTTCGTGTGAACGGTTGACTCGTTGACTGCTCCGATCCGCAGCTCTCCGCGCCTCCTCTTGTTCCTGCTGTAACCTTCTCTCCTCAGCCTCGGCTTCTCGCTTCAGTCGCTCCTCAGCCTCCTTGCGTCGCCGCCGCCCATCCTCCGCAATCCGTTCAATCTCGCGCTGAAGCTTTTCCTCGGCATCGTCGTCCGCTCCAGCCATGCCGGCAGACATCCAGGTCCTCTTGACGCCTCGTTGTGCACCTCCCATCGCAGCCGCACCGGCACGCTCTCGAGCTTCCAAGTCCTCCTTCATCTTCCTTTTCGCCGCATCCATCATCTCCAGCTCACGCTTTTTTCTTTCGCGCGCTTCCCGCGCATTGTCGTAGAGTTGCCGTACGGAGGGATCAGAGAGGACATCGTAGGCAATCTGTAACAGGTGGAATTTGTCGATGTCTGTCTGTGTCGGGTTTGCGATCTTGTCAGGGTGGTATTTGAGGGCTGTCCGCCTGTATGCACGGCGGATTTCCGACTCCGAAGCGGCCGGTGGGATGTCAAGGAGAGCATAGAAATCTTGGTTAGAGGCAGCGTGTGCCTTGAGATCGTCGTCCGAGGGCATCTTGAGGGTAGTTCGCGCGAGGAAAGCTCGCTGTTATCTCAATGTGGGAAGAAACTGACTTAGCCAGCAGACAAAGTTCGCGACGTGCAAAACTGTGAAATATAAAAGGGCTGATAGGCTTTGAGTATTCAAACGATCACCATAAGAGGAAAGAAGAGGTTAATGATAGCATGGTTGAGATGAAGGTGGAGAGAGATCGGAGCTCTTATCGGTTTTTCTGTGTTGGTGGTGGCGGAACACTTCTATCAAGGCAAATATGGCTTCCTGTTCACCCATTACATATCCGGCAACCCCTGCTGCGGACATATATATTCGACTCGTGAGATTCTCGATTGCGCCAGATACATTGAATAGAGCTGATGCAGATGGATATGACTTCCTGGCTTTGTTCTAAATACATTAAAATGACTGACATCCCGCAACCCATTCTTCTCCGGCCCTGAGTACAGGAAGAGGTAGTCCCAAGGGAGGCTTTTCTGTTATACAATCTGCCCATGAATCCTTTTGCGTGACTGTGCACGTTATGGTATGCTGGTCGGTATTGGCTCACTGGATCGCCAGGAGGAAAGGACCAGCACCTCATGGAACGAAATGATCGCTCGAGTTATATGCCGTGGCAGTTAATTGTTCCTTAATGATCGGAGCCGTCCGTCTTCAAAGCCCAAGAACATCAAGGTCCTACTTGTAAGAAAAAAAAGGTACATTTCGCATGCGTATACCGACGGAAGAAAGTGGGTGTGTGAAGACTATGCCTCAGGCTCTAAAATCTTCTCCTTTAATGGCTTGCCTCGTCCACAACTTCTATTCCATCATTATCAACATTCCCTGTCAAGCAAAATATACTCTCGACCATGGAGACAACTCCCATGGCGGGCAACTTTATGCCATCCCAGGCTCAGCTAGCCCTTGCAATGGCCATCGTCAAACAGAAGCCGGCAGGCATAGATGTTGAAGGTTAACAGGCCTCGTGTCCCCTTTCTGTACAGATTAAGTTAACCAAGTCCTAGACTATGTGCTGCAGATCCGAAAGAACATCAAAAATGCAGAAAGTTGCGGTAGGGACTATTTGGAAGATCGGTTCTTCGACAGCGTTTCCTTCTGGCAGCACGCCTACAAGAAATCTGAAGCAGAGCAGAGCCGATTGATGGATAGAATTTATGAACTGGAGCAGCGTAACGAGGCCCTTATTACGAAACTGCAATCACAGAACTCTTTATCTCAAGAGGCGCAAGTATCGGTAAAGAGGAAGGCAAACGGGAATCTGAATGCAAGAAAAAGAGCAAAGACACAGGTGAACTTGCAGAGTCAGGCTTTTGGTATGGCTCTTGAATCTAGCAAACTGGTCGAGCAACCCGAATACATGGAAGAAAGTCAGTCGAGAGTGTCAACGTTATTGTCTACTCTGACTAACTGAAGTATCTCAACAGCTACTGCATCGTTCATGCGGCACTTCTACGCTCTTCAGAGAGCCATTCAATGTAGGCCGAGTCGCTCGACTATTGTACAAACTTCCGCGGATCTATGCGAAGTAGCTGTGCATGAAGTGCTCACGTCTGTCCGTTGGAGAGGACATACCACTCGACCTAGCAAGAAGCCCGTCCTCCAGGCAAAGCGACCTCACTTAGAACAGGTTCTACACAGCGTCAAATGTGCTTTTCAGCTTATCTTACAGGCACTGGAAAAGCTCGCGGAGACTGAGAATGACCTTCACGGCAAGGGTCAGCTTGCTTATCATCTCATTAGATTGTATCAAGCTATAGCCACGGCTCTGGAGCAATACTGCATCAGCAAGTCCGGACAGATTCCAGCAAGCACCGGTTCCTCCAAGACCCCAAAGAACAAGCAGGCTAGAAAGTCGAAAAGCGCAAAGCCCTGTCAGGGACTGGAAAATCTTACGACCACGCCTGTCGACGAAGTAGCGAGCCAAATCAGTCGGCTACTGGGCTCTATTGCAATTTCTTTGAACCTTTCATATACAGTTCATCGAACTCTTTTCGAGGGGCTTTTATACATTCTTCTCACGCGCGTGGGAACTTTACTGTGCATATTTGTCTTCCAAGGTTTACAAATTCGACCTGATCTTCATGTGGATCAGACCAAATTACCTCTTCCCCAAGGCTTGCAGGGTGTCAAGCTGGATGACCTGTCCTTGCATTCAATGCAGATGGAGGCAAAGCACCTTATTTGGCCTCTGGAGAGGAGCCTAGCCTTATTAGATACTTGTGTATCCTCTTCTTCAACATTGGGACCCCAGGATGCCCCTGAAACAATGGCATGGGTGGCCAAGATGAAGCAGCAGCTACAAGGAACTCTGCTTCAGGCTTTGTTCGGATCAGACCGTTCTGTGTTTCCACATACGCTACAGCAGCCTGAAACACTTGATACACATGAGCTTGAAAGATTGCAGAACTGTACTCAAATTCCCGAGCAATCCGTTCCTGACTGGTTTACGCAAGAGATATGGAGGCTACTGGGATGGGACTTGCTAGCAACTCAGGACATATCTTAAACATGGGAAAATCACACGATTCAAGTCCCGTCTGCCGAATATTTCGAAAAAAAAATTAGCAAAGCCCGTTCTGCAGCTGGTTTTGAGGTCTCTACCGTTATTCCCGCTGTTAGTATATATCATTACTTTGTTCTCTGTTCTTATAGAGACGAAGTCGAGGCACGAGACTCATGAGGGTCACGCAGGATGCAGTGATATTTGATACCTATATGAGTATGAACTTCATTTATTCGAGATTCAGAATCCGTGCTGCGTTCCCTCCCAAGATTGCCCCAACTGCTTCTTTCTCTGTATCAAATGCAGCGTGGATTGCTTTGTAGTTGGTAGTCACACTAGGCCATTCGGCGTCTTCACTAGTGTCAAGTGGAGGGAAAAAGGGATGGTCAGTGCCTGTCCAGATGTCAGTATAACCGCAGAAAAGAATTCAGCGAAGTGCATAATCATACCAAACATGAGACGATCCGCTCCACCGGCCGCAGTCACGGCTGCTTTCAGGCCAGCAGTACCATAAACCACCGCATCAAGGTAGATGTTTGTCTGCAACACATCCCAAACACTTCTCTGAGGACCCGGTACATTACCGCCATTGGCGACGAACTTGCGCTCGTGATGAATACAGCTCTCAATCCGTCCAGCAAGGAACGGAAGCGTTCCGCCAGAATGCGCCAGCAGGATTTTCAACCCGGGGAACCGATCGAAAACACCGGAAAGGAGCATCCGTGCTACGGCAATCGTGGTCTCGAGCGGGAACCCTAAAGCAAGCGGCAAAACATGGCCGTAGCGGTTTATCACTTCTGGCCCGCCGAAAGCTTCATCGGGTAGACCGTAGTGAGGGTGGAGGAACAGCAGGGTCTCTGTCTCTTGTAGAGTGCCCCATACGGAATCCAGCGCTGGATCATCGAGGCCCTTGCCTAACCCCGAGGTACCCATAATCACACCTCGCAGATGTGGCAGCGTCTTGAGTCTCTTGATCTCGTTTACTACAATGTCTGCTCTAGGCGCACTGAGCGGCAGGGCTCCAAATGCGAACAAGGTCTCTTTCTCGTGAAGAGAATGCGTGTTATCCGGGTCTGCTGCTTGGTTGACACGCGCACAGGTCTGCTCCAGATCATCGTTGATGCGTTCTGCCCAAGTCTGCGCTTCGTCAGGCTCGAGGAAGTCCAGCCACGGGTTAGCTAAAGAAATGACACTGCAGTTGATACCGTGGCGTCGCATGAATGCCAGCTTGACGTTGATATCCCAGTAGGACGAGTCGACTGGACGGCCACGCTCATCGAGAGGGATCGATGGATCATCGTCTGAAGACAGGATGACTAGACGTGGTGTTGCATTTACTGGGTCGTGGATGTAGGGGACTACCTTGCGAGAGCGGAGCATTTCCATATACGCCGGGGGATAGACATGAGTGTGAATGTCGACAATGAGCGGGGAGGACATCTTTTCTCTTTGCTTTCTGGGGATCAATCAGCCCGTCTTAAAAGGTTGTAGTAGAGATGGTTTGCAAAGGTGAGCACGCTGAAGAAACTGTTAGCAATCGACTTTCGACTCTTATGAATGATCATACATTTCTCGAAATGGAGCTGATTCGCGAACTCAAGATGAAGATGAGAAAGAACGAGTTAGACAAGACTCAATCTTGAGCAGCCTTAACTTGTCTCTTATCTTCGAAGCGGGGTATTCGCAATGATGTTACAGCAGTAATGCATCTGCAGGGGATGCGAGTGATGTGCAGCGTATGTATGGACTGCTGTCGAGTCCCCATGTTTCAAATATCAAGGGTTCAAGAATTGTACTCCATATCAATGGCTTATCTCCTTTCGATCATCTCATTGATAGCTGCATGAGTGAGTTTTCATCAGGATCTGCTCTTCTCTGAATGGTCACAGAGCCTATCTTCCCTCGATATCCTCATGTTTCGACAACCGATACCTTATCGCCCAGACACGGACAGCAACATCCTGCAGGTCGACTTTATCTTCCCCGCTCCAGTGTATCATCGTTGATTGGGGATGAGAAGGAAGGATATTTAAGTCTGAGGAGGGGAAGCATATCAGCTGCGGAACCATGGCTGCTGTCCATCCAACTCTGTTGATCTGCTTATTTTCCTTTTCCTCTCCTTGGTTCATGACCAAGTCGTGATTTCACGAAGATCTTCTGCGATTGCGCTCGACGTCTTTCCACATTAGCTCGCAAGGAGACGTCTATAACTGTTCTAATACCTTAGAAGGATTGTACGTTCATCTGACGACATAGTTTCGCTCTTCAACTCCTACAGCCATTGATCCCGATCGTTATACGATGGACGACAACCTCGCGCAGCATGCGTGTCATCCCATCACCACAGCGATTGAAAAGGACGATCTTGTCATTCCTGTGAGTATTCTGATCATCTAAAATTATCAATCTGCTGGTCTGTTTCTTGTATTCGTATGATATGTGTCTCCCTCCCCACTTACACTGTCAATTTACAGGTCATTGATTTTGGCCCCTTCCTGAGAGGAACACCATCCGACAAACATGCTGTCGCTGTTTCCATCACAGATGCATTTAAGACATCGGGGTTTCTCTACCTAAAAGACCATGGAATCCCATTTTCCACAGTATCCCAGGTATTTGAGACTTCAGCCCGCTTCTTCGCTCGCCCCCAGGATCAGAAAGACAGTTTGTGCTGGACTTCTCCGCAGTCGAACCGTGGTTACGTCAAGACGGGACGAGAGAAGCTGAGCTTACCTGAAGATAATGTCGACAAAGATACCGCTAGACTGGCGACACCAGATCTTAAGGAGACAATGGAGATTGGTCGCGATGATGTTGACGGTCTTCCTAATCGATGGCCAGACCATTTCGATGACGAGGGGAAGGATTTCAAGAAAGCGATGCAGTCATTCTTCGCAATGTGCAAATCCCTGCATACAGAGGTCATGCGGGCTATCGCTCTTGGAATGAACTTACCAGAGCACTACTTTGATGAATTCGTGGATGCGGGAGATAATAATCTCCGTCTGCTGCATTACCCATCTGTGCCCAAAGATGTCTTCAAGAAGAACGCAGGCCAGGTTCGTGCTGCAGAGCACAGTGATTATGGATCTATCACACTCCTGTTCCAAGATCGTCGTGGAGGGCTGCAGGTTCGGAGTCCCAAGGGCACCTTTGTCGATGCTACGCCTATCGCAGACACAGTCGTCGTCAATGCTGGAGACCTACTAGCTCGGTGGTCCAACGACATCATCAAGAGCACTCGTCATCGCGTTGTCGAGCCTCCAAGTATCGCAGGTGTCGACGCAGATGACGGCTCAGATACATACCCGGCGCGATATAGTATCGCATACTTCTGCAATCCGAATATGAACAAATTTATTGATGCCCTACCGGGGACTTTCGGGGAAGAAATTAGCCAGAAAAAGAAATACCCAGGAATTACCGCCGGAGACTATCTTGTGCAACGATTGACAGCAACCATCTAGTCTGACTCTTAATATTGATGTATATCTCCAAATGAGTCATGTATACATTCAGCGTTCTTATGTATCTCGAGCAAGACTGACCAATAATCGTATGAGTGAGTTTCTTTCTATGCGAAGGTTGATATGGGCTAATATAAGCTACTCACTTATAGCGCAATGACTGATCCTCTATGCCCTTTTGGTATTTGATAACTGGCCTACATGTGTAAAGTGCTCTGCGCTTCCCAGCGCTCTAATACGATGCCGGATGAACTGCGGTTCGTCCTCCATCAGTGACGATGATGCTACCATTCATGTAGCCACCGGAAGCACTCGCCAGCCAAAGAATCAGACCCGCGATGTCTTCCTCACTTCCACCCCTCGTGAGGGGAATCCTTTCGCGCGGGAATGACCCGTCAGAAATGCCCCTGTCTCCGCCGTTGAATGCTGACGCAGACATCTCCGAGTGATACAGGCCTGGCGCAATGCCATTGACTCGAATGTCGTACGAGCTCAGCGTCGTCGAAAGCATCTTGACAAGATGATTCGTTGCAGACTTGGAAAGACTGTATGCGAAACTGAAGGGCACCTGCCGAATGAAACCCGCAATCGAACTGGTGATGATAACCTGCGCAGTCGGCGGGGAGAGCTTATCCTTCTCAGGTGCCGGTCTCCTCTTATTCGTTGCCTCAAGCAGAGGTAGAAAAGCGAGAACAGTGTAGTATGACCCTGTGACGTTGATATCGAAGACCTTGGAAAAATCCTCCATGGGTACAGCCCATAGCTGATCGCGGACTTCTGAGAGACTTGGGTTTGACCCGTCTCCTTTTGCGGCTGGCGGGCGAGCAGAAGGACCCATCACACCGCTGTTCGCGATCAAGAGGTCGACATGGTCTGTCTGAGATGCGATGGAGTCGTAGGCCGCCTGTAGTGATTCCTTAGATGAGACATCGCCCTTGATGGGTATGATTGTTTTGTTGATTGCGAGGGATGCAGTCTCTTGTAGCTTATCTTCGCGTCGGCCAATGATGAAGACCTTCGAGGCACCGTTCGCATCTAGTGCAAGGGCCATTGTACGTCCCAATCCTGTTGAAAGCTGTGTCAGTGCTTATAGAATCTTCTTCCAAATCTACGAACACAATCGAGTTGTAGTGGCGGGGAAGATTCGACAACACATTTCAAATAAAGGTATCGATTTCTTCAAGGAGGCTCACCACTTCCTGCCCCTGTGACAACGGCAACACATCCCTGGATGGAGAACAATTTCGAAGCTTGCAGGTGCGACATGGTGATGATGATGGGACCACGGAGGGCACTACCGATAGCGGAATGCAATGTCGGGTACAAGTAGTGTTAAATTTCTACAAAAAATGATGGAGTTGCTCCAGTCATATAAAGCAAGGTTCTATGGCCTTCCGTTGTGAGGAAACAATCGATTTGTCCCTTTTAGAGGATTTGGCGTCATACAAGAACCCCCGCATCTCGCAAACATGGCCGATGTGGGGAAATCCCACGCTCCGGCAATGCTCCTTGATGACTTTCTCCTTCGCTAAACCTAGGTTTATCGAGATTCGTCAAGTAAAGGAAAAAACAGGGTCCAAGATAGTCCTTGGAGCTACGAGTGGGATAAGTAAGTACAATCTGCGATGTGTGAGAATGATGATCACATCCCAGGTTGACAAGGCCAGAGATATGCATGATCGACACCAACAGCCCACAAATTCTTGTAACGCGAAGCATGATATGACAGATATCTACAGTCTATGCTTCAAGACTTTCCGACAGTTTCATATCGGAAAGCCGGGAAAGCCAGAATGCTTATCTGAACCCCATCTCATGCAAATTCATCTCTTTCTGATGATCAATCAATCTTCGCTCAGGACAAACCCCGACCAAGACAAAGGTGGGAGCGGAAGGAACCACTTCAATGCTACTGAGTATCTATTTCTGAATATTTTAACCGAGAATTCGGCGCCTCAGTAAGATTCTGGGTGATGATTTACTCCTCGGAGAACACTTCCTTCAAGTCCACTTTGGTGATCTTGATCCCACGTCATCAGTAACCAGGAGATCCGCTACATCCTCTTTACTGTGGACATGCAACATACGGGATCAATTGATAGGATCGGAATATTGGAAGGATAGCCTGTTATACAAAGCAGATATATGTCATGACCCATGAATACCTGATGTTGCAGACGAATCCCAGTATCCCGTGCTGCTCGTGGTTGCGGACCACCGATTGCTCAACGCTTGACGCATCACGTATGCTGTCTATAAGTTTCGAATGCATAAAGAAATTCGGTCTGAGAGCTGCGAAGGAACCTCAGACCCGGAGCTATACAGCTACTCCAGCCTTCCACCACCATGAATCATTCGTTCATGGTAGACCGTACCGTAACATGACGACATTCCTTGATGTTGACTACCTCACTAAGGTAGGGTACTTGGTGTGCGATCCTCAGGAACAGAATCTCCGATGCTGATTTGGGGGTTTGTGAGACAAATCAAGTTATGACGCTGGAACGATGCTATGGATAGCCGCTCTGATCTGGAAACATTAGCAAACATGAGGGACAGCGTCATGTCTTGATCATAAAGTTGCCTCAATTGCGAACCCCCTGGCTCTGATCACATTTTTAAACGCAGGTTGGCCCTCGTATGTAGCTTCGCAACGCTGCACTCTGGGCGCTGGAAGGTTCCCTAGCACATCACTGGGTAGCATCTCAATTGCCTTCTGGATGTCAGGAGGATATCGCCCTTTTTAACCATCACTATGAATTGGAGACACTTTCTGCTGATCAATGTGCTGGGTGGGCTACCTCCCACCCTCGCAGTCCCTAAACTGAAGAGAGTCGACGCCCCTATTTCAGTGCCACCTATTGTGAGCCACACGACCTCGTTACCGCACTCTTCCTATACCGCGACTCCCACGACCAGTGGAGCCGAGCGTGCCAGCTCTGTTGGTTCCGGGATCCCGACTTTGGGACCGGCTCCAGGAGCTACCAGCTACCCAAGCGATGGAAAGCTCCATGACCCCCAGCCGGCTCCTTATACACCGGCAGGCGGCGTTGGGACGAACGGCACAACTCCTATCTCCAACGCAAAGAGCGACTTTGATTATGAATCACTGGTAGGGCTTCCATCGATTAGCTGGGAGAACAGTAGCTGACCGCTGCCAGGCCCTTGTGCTCTACCAAGAGTACATCGAGCTGGACCTGTTCCACGATGGTCTGGCTCGGTTCTCTGTAGAGGAATTTACTGCCGCTGGTCTCACGGCAGAAGACCGATTCTTGATTGAATTCATGGCTGACCAGGAGACTGGACATGCAACAATGCTGACCAACATCCTGGGTGATCAGGCTCCTAGACAATGTGTCTACAACTATCCTTATGCCACCGTTCATGAGTTCATCGACTTCTGCCAAAAGCTCACCCGCTTTGGAGAAGCTGGTGTCTACGGCTTTTTGCCTCACTTGGATTCACGAGAGGCAGCTGGCCTCTTGACCCAGACTGTCACCACGGAGGCTCGTCAGCAGATGATCTTCCGCCAGTTTGAAGGTCTCTTCCCAATGCCTGTGTGGTTCGAGGTTGGGGTGCCTCAGTCCTGGGCATGGACACTGTTGGCTCCGTATATCAGCTACTGTCCTGCCAACCAGACGAGACTGGCATGGCAGAACTTCCCGTCATTGTATATCGAGAACCAGCCAAATCCTTACCGGGTCAATGGATCGTCTTCGGCCAATGAAACACTTCCAGGTGGTGGCATGAACACTTTGGCCAGCCGGAACGTGACCGGACCCGAGTCATGTCTGAACAAGACGGCCGTTGGCGAGAGCTGCAGCCCGGCAATTACCCATAATCGAACAAGCCCCCTCTCCCACCCGGGCCGAACAGTCACCCTGTCGTGGGACGCTCCGGGCAAGGGTGTGGGCCCGAACAACAGCTACATCACGAACACCACCGCGGGATCCCCGAGTTACGTCCTATGGGCTTCGCAGTTGAATGTCACGTACTCGACACTAACCACCAGTGGCAATTCAAGCTATGGAACGACCATTCAGCCCGACCTGTCGACATATGCCGGCGACCCAGCGCTCAATGGTACCATCTTTATCGCAATCACGGACACTGATCTTTTCGTGACTCCGTTCAACATCAGCAGCGTCAACTCTCATATAGTTGCCGGCCCAGCTCTTTACCAAGCTGGCTAAGCTGGTCCGATCGAGCGTGGTAGAATGAAGCATGGAGTGTTAGACTATATATCTTGAAGTTCTGGCCGGTCATGTAATTGGCAAAAGTAAAGAGAAACGGGGATGATGCGTCTTGAGTCTTCAAAAAGTCATTGAATGATGGATGTTCCAAGATATGCGCTGTTCTTCTAATGGCTACCTATAAATGAGTACTACTTGGTGCGAGTGAGACCGATAGTCTGGTATCGTAGGCAAAGTAGACATAAAACGGTAACCCCGCTAACTCCGAGGCGATCCCGTCGTTTTGCTAGCTTTTCGATTCCTCCATCAACAGATGCCAAACCCTTATCCTATTCTCCACGAAGACCATCATCCACGAATCTACAGCCTTGCGAACATTCCGAGTAGCATCCTAACCAAGATGGAGGGTCCTAGGAATCGAAAACAGCGACGAGCAGCAGCAGCAGCAACAGCAACATCCGCAGCTTCCACCCCTGACTCCTCGTTCGATCCATCTTCGATCCCCTTAGCCCATCCTCAAAAACCGTCCCCCGACAACGTACTGAGAGGAAAGACGTTGGTGGAACTCATTGCTGAAAGACAAAATGAGATCTTGGGCAAGGAACAGAGGGATACTGCAAAGTCAGGTCCAGAAACGCAATTCATGTCCGTGGATCCGTTATCTGGCAAGATTTCCCAGTTCGACCCTTCAATGCTTTCTAAGGAACAAAGCGATGAGGGCGACCGAGCAGGACCAGCGACCGAGGACTCGCAGATCGAGCCGGACACAACTGACAACGGTGATGATGCACCGATTCCCCCATTAATCGACACGCTCCTACTCTCCGTGCCACTGACGACATTACACCTTACACTGGCCTACCTGGCGGCTCATCAATACGCGGAAACGATCGAGTTGGAAAAGCTCCTGCGCGAGTCTACATTTATTGCATTCCCCATTCTGACGCTACTCGTCCATCTTGCTCATGGACACATCGTATGCATGCATAGAGGGAATACGAAGCAGGAGAAAGTCTCGCTCTTCCCTTGGTCTCAAGACAAGCTCACGCTTTCATTCGTTCGGAAGTTGCTTTTCCCTCCTAATCTGCGGACAATGGCATTTTTACCTGTTGCCGTCCTCCTGGGAACCAAGCTGATGACTATGACCAACGAGGACCCATACTATGCTGTTATGAAGCGAGCTCCTGCCATCGGAACTTTATGGGTCTGGAGCATTCTGGAAATTCCAGTAGGTGCAGCTGCTTTAGGCGCACTGGGGCCGTTGATTTGGGGTGTCTGGTGGAAAGGATACAGTATCTTTTAAACCACAAAGGCCGGAACAATGTCGCACCATCGTTCCCCACGCATTCTACCGCCGCGGTTGGAAAAGAACTGAAGTTCTAGCCCGGTAATTTTACCCTTGAAGAAGCCTGTTGCAATTTCGCTGTCGATTACTCCTTTGGAGTTGCTCATGGCTGGCTTCGATTGCCAGGATCTTCTGGGATGATCCCGGCACGGGCGCATCTCCCATGTCAGGGCGTCAGCAGTCACGTCGACTCTGACCGCAACGGCGATGTGGTACTTTGCATAAGCGAGCTCGTTTCTGCTGGTGCCGCGAAACAATCCCAATTGTTTGAAGACACGGCATACACCCCGCCGAGCTCTAGTTGGACGTTAGCAACAATTACGTTTCACCGCATTCGCGCCCGTATGGAGGTCGGAAATGGCACCAGCATGTACATACATAATGTGAAGGCCGCTCTACTGAAGCACCGCTCGAACTCGAAGCTTAACCAATGTCTACGGTGCAATATGCCACATGCAAGGTTCTTCCCTTCAGTCCTAATGTCACCGTTACGAGGCTGCGGCCCGAAATCAAATATTTGGAGAAGAAGGGTCTGAACATAACTCGCTCAAGACTCCTGCTGGGCAGATCCATCATGACTTCTTAACTCGTCCCATCACAAGATGAGGATAGATCCTCGAGGATTATTCCGACTGCGTATTCGCGCTAATGCTCACTGCTTGAAGCCAGGAAAGCATACGAATGGCGAGAATAACACACTACTGTATAGCACTCAGGGGTGTGCATGTCGTCGAGGGTATAGGACTAGTCTTCCGATCCTGGTCGACTGGATAAGAATCACTACAACGTGCGGCCAACGGGAGTCGCACCGTCACCCGTCCTGACTGGGATGTTCTCGACACAAATGCGGGGAGGTTACCAGCGACATTGGGGTTTGTGAGACTGGCACGTCGCTTGATGTGAGATTGCCGCGACTGGAAAGTTCATTGCGAAGCGAGAGCAGCACATGTTCGTCCAGTTGACCGAAATATTGAAAGCATTGCAACCCGCGGTTGCTGCCCGAGGGGGACCATGCCTTCTGCAGGTGAACGCATGGCTGACCTGGGAGTGCGAACCCCGATACGAAGGATGACCGCGATGGGTTGTCTGTCAGGGCACTTCATCGGGCACCTCATCGGGCATCCAAGGAAATGGCAGTCCTAGCAGAAAATAGCGTCCTTGGTCCCGTCCCGGCGAAAGGTGTATCTATGCTTTTTGAGCTCGATTTCATGAAGTCAGGCAAGTCCAGGACGAGCGGCTATAGCGATTCACACAGAAATATCAAGGCACCACAGCGACGGACTTGTTTGTTCGCTTCTTGGGCTGCATGAATCATTCAGGATATTTGCCAATGCAGTTCGCTCCAAGAGGATGATGCGCTATCCTCGACCTGCCCGTTTGGGCTATTCTTTAACTTGGAGCGAGGGTTCTGGCCGTCCGGTCTCGTGCTGACCAAGGCTGTTAGGTTCTTGAAGGATCAGCGATTTGCTTGACCGGAGGCGCCTTTCAAGCCCCATTTTGCAAAGGATGATCTTCGAGGTCGAGGACGTGGAAGCGTGGCTTGTCCCAGCGCTGTTCACTAGCGAACCAAGGCTACCATGACGTCGATGATGAGGGGTTGACCATTTGTTGTAACCCACATATCCCGTGTTCTATTCATCTGGCCCAACAGGATTGACAATCTACTACGCTATCATCCCAAGTTGCCCGTGGCGCGGGATACTAGATGAGGAGAGGCGGTGACCGCTGCCCAGCGAACCGTGTCTATTGCCGTATCGGGTAACTGGCATATCAGCCGAATGATCGTCACTCATGATCTCGCACACTTTGATGACCAGACCGGATGTCGCGATACAATTGTCCGGCAAAGGCCTGTGATCAACATGGCTACACCAGAATGCTTACATTGACTCAGAGAAATGTATGATTCCAGCTCGATCTCGAAAGATGTCCTAGTACTGGACGGGTGGCTGGTGCGCCTGCGCCATAAGGTGGAGAGTCGGCAAGAACTATTTGCGCTAAAAGTCAATAGTGTGAACGTCAGACACCCATTCAGAATTCAGATCAGACTCAATCCAGAGGAAGAAAAAAGCAAAGAGCTGAGCGGATCGGTCGGCTCAGTTGACATCGTTTCTGGGTCGATCGATAAGCTGTTGCTGTCTAGGAATCTTGACACGGGCTCATGACGATCCTCGGTCAAGTTCCCTCCGCTGTTTATTCGAGTAGATTGATGGTACTTTGTGCCAACTCTAATTACATTCATGAACCTGGTCGTCTGGTTGAGGCATGCGATAAAGGTGTCGATCAATCTATTCCGCTCAGTATGACATTAGGCTGATCATCTCGATCAGATATCACACGATTGGCGTTATATGATCGCACCCAATCGAATGAGCTGACTCGACGTCACGGTGGCAGGAGTTGATCAGCAGTCGTTCTAGGCGTCAATTGCACGATTTTTGGCCAATTTCAAAAAAAAAAAAAAAAACAATGGAAGCGAGAAGAGTCAAAACAGGATGTAGAGGGAAGAGAAGCAAGGGTAGTTCTCCGTACACATGACGGTCTAGTCATGCAGAGAGGCCAAAGAACTCCGTACAATATACCCAAAGCGGCACGGCGAAGTTCGCCGTCGAACCCGTTACTTAATCGTATTGTCTCTCGTGCGGGTGAAAACTAAAGCAATGAATCAAGGTATGCGCTGTAAGCCAGTAGATTTTGTACGACACAAGGACACTATCAAACGAAGGACTGACTCGGTGTTTCGACTTGATCGTGATCTGGATACACTACCTATTGCAATCCATCGAGAATCAGTACTCTGCCAGCCTGATTGGCCATCTCGAGGAAGCATTTCACATGTTGTGTAGCCAAAGTACTATTGTTTGGTTACTCGGGTCATTTCATAATCTGTTTCTTTTGAATTCACCTGGGAATACGATACCTATGCACATGCCTCAATGCCCATAAACCAAGTCCAATATGCTCAAGGCCATGGTCATGCATCGTAACCGTTCATGTCATGTACTGATGCCTGAGGATTGCAAGGAAGTAGGTACCTTGCGTCGTGCATCGCCTTTCACATGCGATTTCGCACTCTGGAGTCTGGAACAAGATTTCGATTTACCAGATTGGGAATTGGGGATTTTGGTGTCGATGGGTCCTCACCGTCATCTTGCCAGGGCAATTTTACTCTACTCTGTGTTTTGTATCGGTGAGCGTGAGCCAAAACTCTACAGTCTACACGGACAATAGTGTTTGCGCACTCTCAGGCCTCGAGTCCTCGAGTCCCTCGACTATGGTAAATAGACTGTATCACACGTACGTGTAACTACGTGAGGGAGGAATTTCCTACCTGACACATGCACGGTGCACGCACTGTGCATAAGCTTATGATGCAAGGGGAGCCCCTACTGCATCTCAACCAGAGTCAACGCTTACGCACCATGTTCGCCAGTGTTTGCAGTAGCTCATCTCGTCCCAGGCGGTGACTGGGTGTACTGAGATTTGCTGCGCCTGCGCCACATCTTGGTCTCCGACTCCGACTCCGGCCAGCCGAGCCGAGATTTGAGTGCAGCACGCCAGGCCCGGATCAACTTGGGAAAAATAAACACACTGGAAGACTAAGGTAAGCGTGCGGGGCCAGAACCAGAACCAGAACCCACAATGACAAATTCTGGTTTTTGGGGACGAGATTCCGGGTTTCATTGGTTGGATATACTTGTTTTTGAATTTGGTTGAGAATTGGAGATACTCCGTAGGTAGATATTGTTCGCTGTCATTTTTATCATCTACTCGCTGTAGGAGTAGTGCGACTGTCCAAGTAACCAGGTACTGTACTCTGTACGTAGGTACGTATATTCATGGAATAAAAAAAACACCAAATCAAAAATCAATCCCATCAGCGCCTGTGCCTATGCCTTATGCCCACGCCTGTTGACCGTAGCCCTGGAAACTGCAAGAAACTGAAAAAAAAAGTGACTGGTACCAACCTTAGGGTGAACTACACGGCCACACGGCCCTTGTGCACCAACCCCAACCCCCCAAGTCCACTAGCGGCTCCCTTGAACCGCGCCAGCAGACTGGATACCATGTCGCGGTACGTGTTCATCTGCGAGAGCTTGAAGCGCTGGATTTTCCCGCTGGCCGTGCGGGGGATTTCCTCGACAAAGACAATCCCCCCGTCTAGCGCCTTGTAGCTGGCCAGTTGACGGCGTGCGAATTGGTAGACTTCTTCCGCTGTCAGCCGATTTGCAGCCGGTCCCTTGGCTCTCACCACGAAGGCGCGGGGCAATTCTGTGCTGCCGTCTTTGGAGGTGACGCCTGTGACGGCGGCGTCTTCGATGCCGGGGTGTTTGAGGAGAACCGCTTCCAGTTCAGCGGGGGCAACTTGCCATCTATTTCCCGATTAGCACTACTAGCCGCACTAAAAGAAGCGAGTAAACCTACCCTCGCACTTTGATGAGTTCCTTGGTTCGTCCGACGATAAAGTACTGCCCGTTCTGGACATAGGCCACATCACCCGTCCGGAACCAGCCATATGCATCTTTGGCGTCGTTGCGGCCCTTGTAGCTCATCAGCACCCCGGCCCCGCGCACATACAGCTCCCCGGGTCGTGACTCCCCCTGCACCACGTTCCCGTCCTGACCGACCAGTCGCACCTCGTATCCAGGTAACAGACGTCCGATACTTCCGGGGCTCCCCTGCTCGCCGTATCGCGTCTGAAACACGACCCCGACCTCGGTCATGCCCCAGAGCTGAGTTGCGCGCGCGTGCGGGTGCAGCAGCCGCTGGAATTGCTCCATCGAGGGGCCGTCGATGGGCGCACCCGCCACACCGACGTACCGCAGCGTGCCCATGTAATCTGCGATCGGGGGAGCACTGCGATTGAAAACGTGGATCATGGCGGGGACCATATAGGTCTCCGTGATCTGGTAGTGGTAGATGGCGGCGACATACTGGGTCAGCTCGAAGCGCGGGAGGACGAAGAGCGGCTGGCCGTAGCGGATGGGGAAGATGTGCGTCCAGAGCGACCCGAACAGATGGAACATCGGCAGAGAGATGAGCCGTGTAACTACGTAGGGGACATCATAGTTGATGCTGAGGTGATGTGATACGATTGCGTGATGCGAAAGCAGGGCTCCCTTGGGCAGGCCGCCCGTCCCGCTGGTGGAGAACATGGCGGCCGGCGTCGACTTTGCGATCGCCGGGTCATTGAATCGCACCCAGTCGTTCTCCCCATAGCTGAGCAGTTGCGCGAAATTCAGATACACAGCGTCGTTTTCAGGAATCAAGGCCAGCGGGCCCGACAAAAGCAATTGGGCAATATGGTTGGGAGCGTATTCATCCAGCAAACACACCTGGCTCGAGAGCATTCCACGGGCGGCGGAGACGCTGAGAACGTTGGGGAGCGCATCGCGCGACGTAATGATCAGCTTCGGATCTGCCAATTGCAGGATATGCTCGAGTTCTTGAGGTTGGCTGCGAGAATTGGAGCCCATGAACACACCGCCAGCGCCGATGATAGCAAAAAACAGTGCGGGGTATATGATCTGCATGCACGAGAAATCATTAGTACATTAGTCCGCTGCAAAAGAATGCAGAAAGAACAAAAGCTAAAGCTCCAACAAGTTACAAAACCGGAAGGAGGCGCAAAACTCGGTGAGAAAAGCAGAGCAGAGTGGGTTTGCAGGACTCCGTACAGAATTTCCCAAATGGACCAATACGCAGTCTCCGCGCTGCACATGATGAGCCTTGAGTCCGGCTATGAGTGTTCTGACCAGCAGCCGAAACTGACTGGCATTGAGTGAACGCGAGGGGTCTTGGGCGTCTATGAAGATCGGTCGTCGCTGGTCATACTGGTTGGGGCCGTCGAAGCAAAAGGTCAACAAGTCGGTGTATACATGGTGAGCCTCAGGACTGGGACTGCTTGGACTGCGAGCTCCTGGCCCGGCAATTGCCGATGATCTTTCCCAGAGTCCCATTCTTCAAAGTATTTGACAAGGAAAAGCAAAAGGAGGAGGAGAAATAAATGTATAGGAGCTACTCCGTAGTAGGTGGTGAATCTGGGCGTCCCTTCGCTCGTAGTAGGGCCGGCGAAGCAAGTCTGATGAAGATGCGAAGAAAAATCTATCCTTTTGCTCCATGGGGAGACGCAGTGATAAATAGCCTGCCATTTGCATTTTGAATCTTCTATTTCAAATCTTTAGGTAGTTATCACGACGAAGTGATCCTATGCGATAATTCCAATTTCGTAGACGCGAGATCTCCATGATTTGGAATTGCCAGCAGGCGTGGCGCAAACCCCCAAACACCGTCGGTATCAGCCTCGATCTTAGTCTAAAACAATCGAAATTAGATTGATAATCCCGGCTCCGGATTAGAATAATCAAATCACCTGGACGAGACTTTCCAGATCAGCGCCTCGCTGATCGTCCTCGCCTGACGCTTGTGAGAAGCTGTAGCGAATGAACACACTCTGTTCAGCATTCAGATCGGAGCGGGGTGGGTCGGTAAAAAGGAAAAAAAAAGAAGTCATAGAGTAATAGATATCTGGACTAATGTCTGTTCTTGGTAGTTACTACTATAGTCCAGTCGTCGTAGTGTTGTTATTCAGACGAACATGTTCAGACCCAGCTGGAGTTGTTCTGGGATCGTCCTGTGACTCCATAACTTTATCGAGCCAATCTCTGCGCACGAGTGGCCTCTTTCTCCCCCCCATCTCACATCAACTCCATCACTCCATCACTCCAGCAACTTCATCTTCATCTAATCGACTCCAATTACCCTTTCAGCCGGTCCGTCACCGTCATTTCTTTGCATTCTGCCAATCTCTTGTATCCACTTTTTTCTTGCTGTATTCCCTGTCCTTAGTGTCCTTAGTCCACAAGTCCCTCCCTTCTCCAGCTGAACCCCCAACGCTATCTCGGTCTTCTCCTCCCCGTTCTGGAATCCTTAGTAGTTGACCTCGGCTGCGTCTACCAGTCATACCATCGCTCTTGTTGAGCCTTGGGAAACTACTCCGTAGCTGCAGAAAGCCATCAAGGGATGATCTACATTCCACAGGACACCCCTCCCACGCCATGCTCGTTCAGATCCGTGATCCATGTCAGCCTGACGTCCGGTCGATCAGATCCCGGATATCCGTGCAGGATCTGCTCGCACTGAGTCTCGATGTGGATAGACGGCTCAACAAAGTGACTTTGGCTCGTTCCAAATTCGTGCCACTATCACCGTACCCACCACCCACGGGCTACAACCCACCGCTATACCCAGCCCGACCAGCCAGCCCGCCCATTGGGAATGTGATGAAGTGGTTCCACCAATGTCTCTCTGCCAGTGATCTTTGGAGTAAGCATCTGTGCGCTGAGATCCGCAAGTTCGCGTATTTGACGAACCTGTCAAGGGATCTGCAAGATCCTGCGTCGCCTGGCAACTCCGCCTGTCCGATCAGCGGTTCGAATCCATTATCTTGGTAATTTCTGATCCTTGAACGGGCTTGACCGGTGGACCATGCGAACGCCACTGATACTCACGTTCCTTACTGGCGCCCTGTTTTCTGACCAGGATTCTTCATGCAACCTTGACCGGGCTGCATGAGCCACTCAAGTCTGATATCTCTCTTCCTAAGCTGCGCCTGATGCAGCCCGCAGTTCACCCAATTCGTCACCAGATGGGTCGGGTTCCCCTCTCTGTGCCATTGTCATTGGTTCCCTGATATACCACTTTTGGGAAAAGAGGAGCTGAGGCAAGGGCGTCGTGATGCCGCCTTGGGCTGCCCATTGGTACAGCCCTTGGAGGTGACTAGTGATGCGGAACGGAGCTCCGTACGGTGGTATCACATCCTCAGACCATAGTGGATGGCGAAAAAAAAAGTTCAGTCTCTCGACGGAAGCTTGCCGAGGTCCATGCATGCGGCACAGTGCCGTAGCGGATGTCACGAACTTTACGAATGGTCTAGAGACTATTCGATTGTCTAATGTAGGCGCACAGTTCGGGCAATGGCCCCATCTGGGTAGATGTCATCGCGAGTCAGGACTCAAAAGGCGCAGGGTGCCGTCATACTACCGTGTGTGTTGCTATCAAGTGTGGCCTTCACTGTTCATACCTCTATACCACCGGTGCTGGCATCCTCTGCATCCTTCCATCCATGTCTTCATTTCACACAAGCAACATGTCGTTGTCAGAGAAGAGTGAAATCTCAATACCTCCCCCTGCCAAGTGCAGGTCCCACTCATCAAACCCCAGCAACGTCACACTGGTCGACGTCGAGAAGGAGATTGCCAAAATCCTCGCCGAGAAAAATGCCTCGTCGAAGGAAGTTGACCTCGAAGCGCAGGGCGGTGCCCGCAAGAAGAGACACGCCTTCATCTCGTCCATCCGATACACCGCACTCGACATCTACCGGCGTCTCTTCTCCCTAGTTTTCCTCGCCAACCTGGCTGTCTTCATTGCCGTCATGACAGCAGACCGAAAGCTGCTGGCCCTTGTGAACGCCACGGCGGCCAACGTGCTTGCCTGTGGCCTGGCCCGGCAGCCGCTGGTGGTCAATGCCATTTTTGTCATTGTCTGCTCGATTCCGCGGTCCGCGCCGTTGCGGCTGCGCCGCATCGCGGCCAAAGTGTACCACTATGGCGGGGTCCACAGTGGGTGCGGCATCGCTTCCTTCCTCTGGTATGCAGGCTTCGTGGGCCTGATGTCGAAGGAGTACTGGTCTCCAGCCGGTGAAGCGGGCAACGCCGCCTTCTCAATCCTGCCTGTGGTCCTCTCCTACATCATCCTAGCCTTACTGCTCGCCATCATCCTCGTCGCCCACCCGGCCTTCCGCATGAAGAAGCACGACTATTTCGAGCTTACGCATCGCTTCTCCGCTTGGGTCGTGGTGGTCCTCTTCGTCATCCTCCTGCTCGTCTTTTCCGGCGAGGCCAGTCGCGCTGCCAACCAACCTCTGGGGACCTTCCTTCTCCATCTCCCAGCTTTCTGGTTTCTCGTGATTACCGTCCTCGCTATCATCCACCCGTGGCTTCTCCTCCGCAAAGTTCCCGTCGTTGGGGAAACTCTTTCCCCGCACGCGGTCAGGCTGCACATGAACCACACAAGCACCACCTTCGGCAAGGGCATCCAGCTAGCCACGCACCCCTTGCAAGACTGGCACGGCTTTGCCACCTTCCCTGATCCCGACGGAGCGAGCTTCTCATGCCTGGTCTCAAGAGCAGGCGACTGGACCAGCGCCCGCATAAAATGCCCCCCAAAGCACCTCTGGAAACGCGGTGTTCTCATCTACGGCTTCGCTTACGCCATGCGGGTCTTCAAGCGTGTTATCGTCGTCACAACGGGCTCAGGCATCGGTCCCTGCCTCTCTTTCCTTGGCGATGAAAATCGTCCCGCTCTTCGGGTGGTATGGCAAACCCGTTCCCCCCTCAGAACATACGGCCGGGATGTCTTCAACCTCGTAAAGAAGCTGGATGACGACCCTGTGATCATCGAGACAAATCAATCCGGGAGAGTAGATATGCTCCCCATCATCCGGAGGTTATACACTGAATTCGAAGCCGAGGCCGTCTGCGTCATCAGCAACCCCGTCGTCACGAAAAGGGTTGTCTTCGACTTGGAAAGCGGGGGGATACCCGCCTTTGGGCCTATTTTCGATTCATGATGAATCGTCGTTCCTGTTGCTTGTATCAATTGCTTGTTATCAACCGATGTTTTTCTGTTTAGTGCATAGGCGTACGCATGGAGTTTAGGATGGTATGGAAAACCTGAGGCTTGCTTTGGCTGCTGTTATATAGCAAATGCAGATATCGGATCGGATGTTCCTGGCTTAGGGTCAGCTCACCTGACTATTGAATATATGAATATCGATGGTTACATTGGACATACAAACTTGGATCATCCGGTAGTTTCACTGCGTGCAGTACCTTTATCCTTCAGGCAGACATAGTCCCAACGTGGATAGCTGTAAGGGTTACCGATCTGCAATTCCCCGGATCAAAGGAGGTGATACAGCCAAGTTATGGGATGTATTCGATCGTTTACATCTTACTTGGTGTTTACCTGTAGTTCATGGGCATTTGGACTTCGAGCAGGACTGCCATATCTGCAGCATACATCGCGCTACTGTTGTTCATCCCTACAGAACTTACCGAAACCTACAAGCACAGAGAAACCGTAGCAAGAAAGCTTAGAGCAATAGATTAGATTATGTACATGTGCACGTGGTCGTCATGATAGTTGAAAAAGACAGAAAAGAGCAAACGCCAAATCAGACGTGGGTATCATGGGAATCCATCGATGAAACTTTTTTTTTGTCGCCAAACCACCAATAGTAGGCATGCCACATAGGGCCATTAAGATATAAGAAAGAGCGTCATAACGCAAGTATTGCTCGAAACTCCTTTTCCCGTTGTATTGTATTGGTTTGCCCTTTTCCTTCATGAAGGAATCAAAGTAAATCATTCCGTTCGTAAGTGTTCGTAACGTCATGAGGATGAATGGACCGATAATGGATCCATGAGAATTTAGCAAGGACGGCAGATCAGAATGAGACGTTCAATGTTCGGATGCATGGGAATCAGCAGATAAACCGCGGCTTCGGCTTCCTGACTCCATTGGCTCTGCAGTCAGGTCTTCGGTGGTGAGTCGACTCCGCCCGCGGACGGAACCAGCTGAGTCGCTGTCCAGATGCAGAGACTCCATCCGTTCCAGCTCTTCATAATCTGGAAGGGAGAGAGGGGATCCACTATAGTCCTCCATGATGCTGTTACCATCGAGCATAGTGTATCCAGGAGGGCTTGCCGGCACGTCCTCGTACACAGGAGGCATCTCCTCATCCCAGCTGATGCCAAGCCCGCTTCTTTCAGTGACGTGCAAGTGGAACTGCATACGGAGCACCCGTGCGGCGCCAGTAGGTGTGATCGAGCGTGTGTTGCGGTTGGGGCAGAACTCCTCAGCGACGATCAACTCGATCACCAGGTTGTGCTTGACC